TTAGAGTAAGAAAAAGCGATTGAAACAGACCGGTTTTCGACATCTTTTCATAGAGAATTGTCCGTTTTCTGCCCTATTTTAACAGAAAGTAAGAGTAATTTTAAACCACTTATTTTGGAACAACATCTATTTTTGAGACACTTATGCGTTCGATAAAATATTAATGATATTATGATGTGAATTGATCAGTCGTGATGATCGTTGGCTTCACTTTTTGTTCTCGTCTCAGCCATGGCCATAGTGTCCTTCTAATAAATGTGATGATGCGTGGTACGCATACCTGTAGTACTGTGAGCAATCCTCCGACCAGTCCAATAATAGTTGTTACAATATAAATGGCATTGCCTTGTACAGTCTGAATATAACTGCATTGATCTGGTGCACATTGAGCATAATATTGATCATAAGAAACATTCGAGTTCCATTGTTCAATAAATAACTCTTTCAACATATCATCAATTGTAGACAGTTGAGTGAATCTGCTTGTTATAGATGGATTCAATGCTATTACGCTGGATATGTCATTGTAATATGTCATGTATGACTTTAAGAGATAAAGGTTTGTTTGATTGTAGAAGAATGATAGGTCAGACTGTAGGAGAGATTCAATAACAGAGCAGCCCGTCTTGAAACCAGACACCTAAAATTAAAACTGTTTCACCACAAAATCCTCAACAACAGTTCCTGCACACTTATGTAGACTAACTGATCATCAGCTTTAGAGGCTGATAAGATACAGAGTTTTAGTTGAGAAGGGTTTGGTAAAAACGATCAAACTACCAAGCAGACCGACACCAAAAGGCATTTTATTTATTCTGCAGAAACTTAGTACTCAGGTCTATCGTCTGTCGGTTAAATGTCAAATTTTTAGTATCAAAAAATGGTAATAGTTACTTCAGTTAAGAAAACAATTATTTAATATGTCAAGTAAGTGAATGGTTTTTTATTATATATACAAAAGAATAGATAACGTTGTCAAAACCGACCGAGGGTCTATGAAGGGATAACGCCCCGTTCCTGGCACCTATTAATAGTAATCATCTAGAGAAGTAATTTAACGTTTGTTAAATTTAGTTGTTAATTTATTCTGATCTTTCTTTTCAAAGAGAAATTGTACAGCGAAAAAAGTAGTGAAGAGAAAAGACTGAGCGCTTTCGAATTCTTTTTCAAAGTCTTGAAGTGAAACTAACTGGAAACGGTGAAGAAATGAAGATAAATCATGCCTCTATGTAAGAAAATATCTGTAGGAAAAAGAATGTTA